GGGGGTGTAAAACTTTTTTTTTTCTTTTAAATACCTGTGTGGCACTGAATATTTGTGGAACTAAATCATGAACTGGTGCTGTCAGATTTCTATAATGTTATTACCAATGTTTCCACCTCTAGAGACATCAATTTCCTCATGAAATAAATGAAAAACTGTATAGTATAAATGGAGTTTAGTTTGAGAATAAAGATATATGGGTGTGTATAGTGTCCTTAATTTCCCAGAAACATTCCTGAACAAAACAGCAATTTGTCACTAGTTAGAAAGAAAATATTATCACTGGAGGCAAAGCACAATTTAAAAACAAGTAAATATTAATAAACTACTCATTTTAATTCAAAATGTTATTCTAAAAGGCGGCATGGTGGTACAGTGGTTTGCACTCACAGCAAGAAGGTTCCAGGTTTGAGCCCCAGCTGACTCCAAAGTCGTTTGCATTTTGAAGATTCTTTTCTTATGTGCTAACCTTAGGTACCGATTTAGTTTTATTTAGGAGGCATCTAGTTGGTTATGTTCAGAGTTAAAGGGTGTGTGAACCATGCAGCTGAATTCAGGACTGCTAGGGTGAGTAGTCACAAAAATCAAGCTAGCCTCTATTAGTTGGTCAGTCAATCCCTCCAAAGTTTAGTCTTCCTGCTTATTAAACCAACATGTCTCATTTTCTGTGTCCGTTAACTACTAAAGTTGTGGCGTGTGGGTATGAAGAATTTCAAGTGACCAGGAATTGCATTTTAATCTAACACATCACTTGCAGGCTACTGTAATTAGCAAAGTAATGCAATTACCTTTCAAGGAGTACTGTGTCAGTAACACACATCTTTTTTCAAAGTCAAAGTCAAGTGCTTTTATCACTTCAGTTTCTTCAGGTTTTTAGAGCTCAGCTAAACAGACACTTAAGTATATGCTTCTTCAGATGAGGAGCAGTTTGAACATTCAAACATTTACATAGCATTTATTGTATGATACTTGAGCGCTGACTTCCTTGTGACCCTACTTGAGAGGCTGCTGTGAGGGTAATGATGATTACACAGCAATGTCAGCTGTCTGGACCCAACACTTGATGATGTGAATTCAAACTCTTAGACATCACAGCGCTTTCTTTCTGAGGAGGGGATCATTTACTGGAGAGGAGTGGGATGCCTGGAGTGCAAGAAAATCTTCTCAGTATCTGTGGATGTGCTGCAGCAGGCCAGCACACACTGACGTTTCTAGCACAGACAGATGCTGAATGTGGGCTCGACTGCAACCTATTTGGAAATGTAGGCTACGGGGGAACACATGGCAAGGCAAAGGTAGCAGGGGGACCCAGGGGAGGCAGGCAGATGGGCCTATATTAGATCTAAGATAGCTCCACTTCTCCCTGGATGCAGTTCAACACTGCCAGGTCAGAGACTGAAGCATTGGCCTCTTCAGATCCAGGTGGATCCATGTCTGACCTCACTTCTCCATCCACAGTCACATGTTCACCCCTCTACTGACATGACTTATCCACTAATCTAGTCATTATATGTAATAATTACAAACAGTTAGAAGATCAAACGCTGTCAAGGTCCTTCACAGTAAATACTCCCGATTGTTGTGTAATGTGAACTGATACACAGGGAGAAAGGGTAATGCAGGAACTGCCCTGAGCTTCTGTTCAATAACAATGCAATTTCAGAGCCGCTCATTCATTTATTGAAGTGCTGT